TCAGATACCTAAAACCTTGCTATACGTGTTGAAGTCTATTTTTCAGTCGGTAGACTTCGTAATCGACTCGTATAACAGTATCAAACCTTAAGCGGATTGCAAGGGGATCATTCTCTGGCCTACTGAGATCAAATACAACAAACTCACCTTTGCAGAGGTAGCTATTAATGACCATTGATGCATTTTTTACATCATCGGTATAGCGCCTAATAATTTTGGAGTCGTCTTGAGAAGAGCTATCACATTTAAACATCCATATATTCTATTCTATTGTTGCCTAATATAATTATTGAAAAAGAATAAAGTTGATTTTACCATACTTCCAATGTTCTGAGATAAAAGTGTTAAAGTATGTGAGGAAGTTGGAGTTGTGGAGGGGTGATTGGCGTCACCAACCGGCTTCACCAAGAGGAGAAGGGTTGCACGCACGAGGGCGTCACCAGGTGGAAACGGTAGCTCGTGAATGTTGTAACAGCCGATTCCATGCTCCCAAAAAAAAAAGGCGAAATTTTTCCTAGCATAACGATCAATTATTTCTGATTGGAGTGATCACATTGTTACACATGAAATGTATAAAAATAGGAATATGGAGCCAAAGGAAGCAAAGGAAGTAAGTATTTATTGTTGTGTGGTTACTCCATTTGCTGGAAGAAGATAATCATCTCTATACTGTTACCGTTCTAGTTCTTCTCACTTCCCCTTTTACCTAAAGGAATGCATAAATACTTTTCGTCAGTCCCATTCGTAACGTGCAAGATTATCGATTTTCTGAATAGGCTTGATTTTGAACAGATTCTAACGAGTACCGAGCGAGAGCAGGTCCACAGACAATGTGTAAAACACCTAGAATCGTTGAGTGAGAACCAAGAACTACCACAATACGCTCAAGATCATGCGAGAAAGCTGAAGAAAGATCTATCTGTAAGTAATTCGAGTAGATAATATGGTGATAAAACTTTGTGCCAGTTCAAAGAAGTCGCGTCATTTTGGAACTTTATAATAGAACGTGAAAAACGTCGCGTTACTGAGGAACATGATTTCATGTTACTTAAACAAGTTAGAGAAAAACATATCTCAATGGGTGTCGCTAATGTTGCTAGGTGCAACAAGAAAACGATGAAGGAATCGATATAAGACTGGGCATACGAGAGAAGTTAAAGGATACGGACAAAGAGCCACAGGTTATTGACCGCCCGTCCGAATATTCCGAAAACTCACTGTGCTCTACAACTCTAAAACAGAGTATACTACCAGAAAACATCAAGGTATCATTCTCAGTCTAGTTCTGTACTCTTATTCTCTTATTAGTGTGGATTATCTGATTAATTTCTTACAATATAACTTAAAAAAATGACTATAATGTTGAAAATACTTCAAACACATTAAAAAGAAAATCAAATGAAGATAACGTTGATGAAGAATCGTTAGAAAATGCCATATTACTATTCAACGAATCGAATGAGGAATCAATAATCGAAAAGGTTGATATAAATTTATTAATGGATGAGATTCGATTACCAGATATTAATGATAGAACTCCAGAGGTAAATCTTTTTACAAGTGTTTTGTACATACGTATTTGATAAATTTATTATTTTATTATCTATAGGAATTCCTCGATACAAATTTGATTGAATCTTTTAGAAAATATCAAAAAAAAATACCAAAAGCTCGCAAGATCTTAACGTAATTTAGCATCATTTTAAAAGTGTTCACATTCTACCTCTACACATTTTATTAACTTACTAATTGCTAATTTTAGCCCTGCGTATTGGGGAGTACTGGATCTTACAAAAGAAAGTCTAAAAAATTCTGGAATACAGAATGAGGATATTGAAAAATTATCCCGTGATTTTTCCAATAAAATTGGATGGAACATTGAGGTCATTATTCCTAATGAAGTTCGAAAATATTTCGACAATAATTGTGAGAATATTGATAAAAATGAGGCGGTTAAAAGGCTGGATATTAATATTCAGTATATGTATGTAAATTAAATATATCCTGTAGACATTCTTTTTTATCTAATGGTGTTTATATTGTACTATTATTCAGGAAAGACAAGATGTCGAAACTCCAAAAGGCATGTACAGAGGAAGAGTTAAAGATGTGGACTACAGTTCCGATGATTTCTAGCGTTTTCACTTCAAGAAATATCGAAACCACTTGGTAAGTCAATAGTCTATAAAAGATTTCAAATGATGATATAGTGATTCCATTTACTTTTATGAACAATTTTTCAAATATTAGGGGTGAAATCCAAGCTATTCCAACAACCAAGGCACGAAATGAAACAAAGGATCCTTTTTCGAGGGCAAAAATCGGACATAAAGTCGACATGAAAGGTATTTTGGTCAAAACGCCAAATAAATTCGAAATAATTTATGGCGAAGTTTCTGGAGGGCTGGGTTCTTTCGGATTACCTTCCTCCTGCAGTATGTCGATAAAGTGAAATTGATGGTAATGTTATGAGATAGTCTCAATCAATTTTTTATAAACAAACGACATGTGAATGATGAATATCAACTGTTTATGAATGGCTACAAATCGGTATGTGCAGAAATTAGTACGAGTTACATGCTAAAAGATTATGCTGATATTTAATTGAAAGGTACCGAATTAAAGATATATGCAATGGACTGGATCGGTTCCGGGATTTATAGATTCGGCAAACTAGATGAATGTTCTTTGCCTGTTGACGAAGATGACTCTAAAATATTAGAAGATGCGTATTGTATCTTAAACTTACTAGAAGTAAGTTATGTTATTATCCTGTAATTATTTAAGATATTTTTTAATCCGTATAATGATTGTAGTCAAAATTACTCGAATCGGAAAAAACCATAAAAGATATCATACAAAGCAATATGAAAAACAAAAGAAGATGCATCGGGTCAGAGAATAGTCCTCATTTAAACAAGAATCGAACTCCACAATAGTTGACGATATGCTTTGTTTTTGCCTATTTTTATAATTGCTAATAAAAAAAATGTTATAAACATGAATAAATAAAGTTTAGCATGTTAAACATTACGAAAAAAAATGACATGCATGCAATCCACTATGCAAAGATCAGTAAGAAAAATAATGCACATGTATGGAGCATTTAAAGTTTCGAGTTTACTCAATAAGACCCAATTCACGAAGATGCTCTGGAATAATTACAAATGGGTCTTCGTAATACCAAACATACTTTAGTGCAATCTGATTCTCTTTGCATAATTCTTTCTTGAGTTGATCCCATGCTTGCTGTTTGATAAAATTATTGGGATCACCTCTATGAAAGAATTCTATATATTTTCGTGTTGTAAAAAAACACTTCCATTGATGGTTTTCACTGCATTCCCAAAGCATTGGAATTTCACAATTGATATATTCTTTGGAAAGGCATTTTCCTTCATGAGATTCTGCTATCTTTATTGCATCATTCAAAGAAAATTTTTTTTGCATTGCAATTAACAAAATATGTTTCTCGAATAATTATCCTACTTTCAAAATACTATGGAATATTACGAACTATGCAAATTAGACGAAACTATACCTTCAAAAAAACAGAATCCATTTGCACCTAGACAGCCATTTAGATTATTGGTCGCAGGCACCTTTGAGTCTAAAAAGACGAGCATGGTAGTGCATCTGCTCCTAGGAAATAAATATCCAAAAATATATCCATGAATGTCTGGTGAAAAGCATGGTCATAAAATACCAAAAGGTGGAAGCAAAAATTTTGGTGAAAGGTATATTCCATGTGATGACCTAATTGTTGTTGCGCAACATCAAGATAAAGAGTTATGGGAAGCAGTACAATATTTTTATGAATTTATAGCAATAGATAAGCAAGCTCCATAATATGAAAATGTAAGATTCAAGCTGATCACGCCTGAAGAACTACCTGATATTTCTTTCAAAAGAAATGGCTGATTTATTGTTATAATCTTTGATAATCTTATCAGAGAACAATTGGTAATTCAGCTAAAAATTGTTCTATTCTTTAAGTCAGGCAGATATGATGGAATTAGTTTAATTTATATTACCTAACGTTTTTATGAAACCCATTCAAATATATGTACAAATCTTAAATATATTTCATTACTTCGTAAATATGAAATATTAGATATTATAAAGCGAATTCTTAAAGATATACATGATGATTATGAGCCTCTAGCAAAAAAAATTTATAAAGTAATAAAAAAACACTTCATAGTTATTGATATCTAAAGACCATCTGATGACCTCTTATCAATTAGATTTAGATGAGACAAACCTTTAAAAGATAGTTGAATTCAGGATGATTCATGCTTTGTGGTCTCATCCATATCCATAAGGTAAAGTTTCATAGAAAGTAGTCCTGTTTTTTGGTTCTTCTGCATTGTGGATTGGGAATGCATAACTTTGATTTCTATTTAAGGGTATTTTATAGTTCAAAATATTTTTTTCTTCATTCGAATATAGATGAGAAAATACACACCATAAGATGTATATGATTAGTAAGTTACTATTATGAAGATGATTGCATGCTGAAAAAATAAGGAATAAGGTGATACTGAGATTGTTTCAAGGCTAGTGATTTCATTATTGTTTCCATTCCTTTAACTCCTCCAAACATTTCAGACTCGCTAGATATTTTTGGAATCTGCTCAGCTAAACGATCATTAGCTTCTTGAAGAAGAAAATCTTTCTCCATCAATATCTTTTGCACTGAAACTAAATCATTCTTCATCTGTAATAATTCATCCTTTTTTTCAGCCAGTAAATCTTCTAATTCTTCTTTCGCTAAAAATAAACCAATGCTTTTATTAGATAGTTCAACTTTTTTAGTTCGAATTTACGCTTAAAAGAGTCCATTTCTGATAAGTTCTCCTGTGTTAAAGAAATATCCTGCTCTAATTCCTTCACCCTGGATTGGAAAGTCTGCATCTCTTCTGTCATCTTGGATTAGAGAGCTTGCATCTCTTCTGATTTTATAATGAATTTGTTCTCATCATCTGCAAGAGAAATATCCTTATGAGTAATTTGGATCTGAGATCATTTATCTCTGAAAGTAACTGCCTTATTTCATCTCTAAGCTTAGGACTATTTATCTCTGACTGTAACCATATGGGAACATTTCCAGTAAAATCAAGTCATGAGGCATAGTAAATCATATGACCCGTAATGTGATTTTACTGGAAACGCTCCCATATTATCTCTTTTCTGAGCTGATGTACCTAATTGGAAAATTTCTTTTTTTCTTTTTTAAAGATCATCCTGTATACGCTTACTTTCTTTTTTGATTGATTAAGATCATCCTGTATGTGCTTATTTTCTCTATCTAAGATATCATAACTATCTGCAAACTGACTCCTTCAATATATAGCAACTTTACATTTTTTTTTGCACAAGAAAGTCGATCTTCAAGCTCTGTTCAGCTAGGAGAATAATAAATAGTTAAAGAATTTCCAAGTTTATTACCATTATCCAGATCTTTTAAGGTATAGATCTAATGCATTTTATTGGTATTTTTTTTACTTTAGACAAAAAAAATCAGCCAAAGGCCTTAAACTTATAAGAAAGTGGATTATATTTTTAGCAAATCTAATGCCTATTGATATTTATTGAAAAAAAGAGCACCAATACGTACTAAAAGGCACTGGCACTTATTCATACTTATTAATGAATACTGAAAGAGAATACTAATATATATTGAAGGGTACTAATATGTAGGGTTCCGCAATTCGATTTGATATTTGAATATTTGATTTGATTTGATCAAATTCAAATCAAAGAATGATTTATTTGATCAAATCCAAATCAATGTTTGATTCGATTTGATCAAATTCAAATCAAGTATTCAAATATTTGATTTGATTCGAATCAATAGTAAAGCCATTTCCAAAGCTTTAGGAGTAATTCTTACTAAGCAAACTATAGTAAAAAATGCCTCTGCGACTTCAGAAATGCCTTTTTACTAAGAAACCCATAGTAAAAAGTGCCTCTGTGGCTTTGGAAATGCCTTTTTTACTAAGAAAACCATAGTAAAAAGCACCTTCGCAGCTTCGGAAATGCCTTTTTACAAAGAAAAATATAGTAAAAAACGCCTTCGCAGCTTTGGAGATGTTATTTTACTAAGAAAACATAGTAAAAACACTCCCGCAGCTTTGGAGACGCTATTTTACTAAGAAAATATAGTAAAAAACGCCTCTGTGGCTTCAGAGCAGTGTATGATTTTCATAGTACAGCATGTACGCTTGCATATGACTAATAAAATTCTTCACATAAATTTTGTAAAAGTGTGCACAAATCTGCACAGAAAATTTTAGAAAAAATTGCTGCACAACCCACATACAGTCTGCAAAATTTCGCACAATTCCGCACAATTAATGATTGCTGGATTGATAAAAAAAAAATAATAAAAAATAAAAATAAAAATAATGCACTGTATATTCAGTCTTTCCGAAAATATTTTTAATTGACTCTGTTTAAATGTAATTTTCAGAGATATACAACCATGATTTTTTTTACAAATTTTGATTATTATTATCATTATAATGTAATTAAAATTTTACCTTTTTTTTTTAATGAAAACATGGACAAGTTTTTAGGCCGCTCTGGACAAAGCAGTGAAACTTCTAAAAGAAAGCCGAATTCTGCAACTGATGGGAGTAAAGTTAATAAAAAATTAAAAACAGCTGCTACTCCAAAAGATTCATGGTGTAATATTCATGATTAGTTAGAGTATCATAATATTGATGAGAAAGTTTTTATGTTTTGTATCTGGTGTGAGAAAGTGGATTATAGCAATCAATTTGCTAAAGGGTGTAATGTAATACTTACAAGAAGGATTTTAATCGATAAACATATTAAAAATAAAGAGCATAATCTTTTAGAAAAAGCAAGAAAAGGAAATCAACCTAATATTATTCAAAGTATCTTTTAGCAAATTAATATTGACAAAGTAAAGATAATTAATCAAATGAAATGTGTATGTTTTGCAGCTAAAAACCATCTTTCATTAAACCTTTATCCTGATTTATGTAATTAAATATTAAATTCAAATAAAAATACTTCACAAATACAACCTCATCTTCTCCAATTCCTTCCTCTTTCTTCTTTATAACTATCTGTAGATATTCCTTCATATGGATCATATTGTACTTCAAACTATACACGAAAATTTGAAGAGGCTATTTTTCATGTAATTGAAAAGGCATTAATCAGTAAAATTAAAGCTTCTGGACAATGGAGTATTTTAATTGATGAATCAACAACAATAACTGATAAAAAACATTTAGTACTTGTCTCTAAATATATGGGAGGCGGTCAGTAGAAAAGGAGGAAATCCAAAATTTTTGTTAATTTTAATTATTAAGCTAATTTTGTGCACATGAC